TTTATTGACCAATGTTTTGAAAATATTTCAAATAAATCCAATGAGCAACAAGTGAGAATCTGTGGAAGGTGCTTTCTTACTGCGAAGATGCCATGATACTTGAGACACCTGGAAGAAAACAGGCAAAGATTCAGAAAAGGTGTTGCTAGCTCTAGTTGAATTCAATAGAGCTTGGAAAAGTTACATTTTTTGGAGTATATTTCCCAAAATTCTCAGTTAGTTTGGCCATGCTGTTTGGAACATTTCGGAGTGATACACCAAACCTCAATTAATCTTAACAGCAGTGGGCAAATTGCAGCTTGCAGGCATTAATATATATATTTTTGCTCAATCGTGCCCTTAATAATAATAATAATAATAATCCTTTACTTATACCCCACTACCATCTTCGCAGGACTTGGTGCAGCTTACAATAGGGCCGAGCACAAATACATCAATAAAACACAACAACAACAATACAACGATAAATAACTCATAACAAAGCAAAACAATAACAATAATTTTACAATGAGCAAACTCAGATCTGTGTGCATACTTTATATGTAAAACATAGAAGCTGGGTTTCTTTGATATTCATTTTTTAACTGCAGAAAAGGCAATACCGTTTACAAGTCAACTCCTGTTTTGTTTAGAGAAGGGATCAAAATGRGAAAACAAACAAGGCTGCCAAGGATGTTTTAAAAAGGGTGAGTGGGGGGGGGGGGGGAGACACTTACTATCAAAGTCTATCTTCTCCACAATGTTTTTGGGCTTGATGCTCTCCTCCTGGTTGCAGATAAAGATCGTCCCAGGCTCTGACTCTGTCCAGCCATATTTGCTCATCCAAGACTTGAGTTGGTTGTCTGCAACAAAGAGAAGGTGTTGTATGTCAGCCTGTGATTGTGTCTGATGTTCATGCTGATATTCATGATGGGAATGGGGATGGCGTTCCTGATGATGAGCCTGGGGATGAGGGTTTGCTCAGACCTGAGTTAAGTTCAGAAGAGAGGCCTGAGAAAGGCCATATTCCTGGGAGAGACCTTTCACCACTTTTCTCAGAACAACAGTTTGAAAACGATGCTGAGATTGATTTGCCAGGTGCAGGAAATCTTGAAATCTTGGACAGAAAGCAAAGTTTTAGTAAACAAGACGCAGAGCTTTCAGAGACTGAGGCAATCGGTTCGTCTACAGCAAAAGAAAGATAACAAACCGTTTGATGGGAAAGTCAAGAAGAATACCTTCCTTTCAGTTTTGGGTTCTGGAAAAGGTTTATAATGATTCATGGGAGACAGTTGCCTCAGTTGAGTCAATGTTGTTATTCTATCACGGTCTTGCTTTCAAGTGCTCTGTGTTTCATGTATCAAGTTTTTGCCAAGTTTTAGTTTTGCCTATGGGATTTTCCTGCTGTTTTGCTTCATGATTTCAAGTGCCTTGTGTGATGAAGCATTGATTTTTAACTGTAAGTTAGGTGTGGTTGTGTATGTGTGTCTCTAGAGCTGAATGTGATTGTATGTGTATGTATATGCTTGGATGGTTTGCTTAGGCGATCCCTCGTTGGACGAGTAAGATGGTCTTCCTTGATGACTATTTTTGTGGGTTTGTAGGTGGCTGTGGAGCCCTATTCATGACACGCATCTTCTCCCACAGTGAAGGCATTGGTTTCCAGGTGGAAGGCGGTCCCGGTCGGGGTTGGCTTGACACACCTTCCTCCTGGCACATTTCTCTCTTTCACCCTCTACTCGTGCCTCCTCAAATTCTGCAGCACTGCTGGTCACAGCTGACCTCCAGCTGGAGCGGTCAAGGGCCAGGGCTTCCCAGGTCCCAGAATTTTTAAGGTTGGCTTTAATTTTATTGTGTGTGTGTGTTCAGGAGGTGGGGAACAGTTGTGGATGTACATGAAGGGTTGGCCATTTGGAGATGGCAGAGCTGGGGGGATGGGACCAAGCGCAGCACTCTGGGTTGGGTTGCTGTGGAGAAAGGGGTGGAGCCAACTGCACTTACCAGAAGCAGACATTTTGAGGCTTCAGTCCTTTGGTCATCGAGCCAAAGGGAAGGTGGTTCAAACGTGTGGTGAACCAAACTAAGGGAAAGCTTTTAGCCTGAGTGATTTAAATAAGTCAAGGGGACTTATTTAGGTTTGTGGTTTAGCTGTGTGCTAATAGGAGAAGAAATCCCACTGGGAATCTTTACTTCAGCAGGAAGCTGAAGGGAGACAAGGGCATTAGCTGACCTTAGTTAATCTGTCAAATAAGGAAACATATTTAGAAGTGTAACAACTAAAGAACTAGTTGGTGAAGTAAAAGACATCCTAAAGTTATATTAAGATTTGTTGAAACTGTAACTTGTGAAGCTTTATACCTCAGGAGAAGAGAACTCTGAAACCATTAAGACCCTGCCACCCTCCAAATAAACTTGTTCTTGTTTTAGTAACTCAAGTCTCAGTGTACTATTTAAAAAAAAGAAAAAAACAAAACCCTCGCTACACACCAAAAGAAACACTACAGAGTGGTAGCAGTGAATCTATTTGAAAATAGGGGAATCCATTAATAAACTGAATTCTTATTTTATTTATTTGTCGTGTCAAGACAACCAGTCAAATTATATTACATTTCTAACAGAACAAAGCAAACAAACAGACAAAATACAAAATTTGTGAGTTTGGTAGTTGATTAAATGTCCTTTGACCAGTATCTGGCCACTTGGAGTGCCTCTGGTGTTGCTGCAAGAAGGTCCTCCATTGTGCATGTGGCAGGGCTCAGGCTGCATTGCAATAGATGGTCTGTGGTTTGCTCTTCTCCACACTCACATGTCATGGACTCCACTTTGTGGTCCCATTTCTTAAGGTTGTCTCGGCATCTCTTTGTGCCAGAGCGCAGTCTGCTCAGTGTCTTCCAAGTCTCCCAGTCTTCTGTGCGCCCAGGAGGGAGTCTCTCATGGTATCAGCCATTGGTTGAGGTTCTGGGTTTGAGCCTGCCACTTTTGGACTCTCACTTGCTGAGGTGTTCCAGTGTGTGTCTCTGTAGATTTTAGAAAACTATTTCTAGATTTAAGTCGTTGACGTGCTGGCTGATACCCAAAACAGGAACTAATAAGAAACCCTTATTATTGGTGACAGCAAATAACTAGTACCTCGAGTGTGCAGCATACGAGATTGAATAAATCGGACAACAAGAGGAGGCTTTTAAACGTGGTCTCCTGTCTATGTATTCATGGACCTTGCTATCCTTTGAAGTTTATGGATTATCTTGGATTTTGGGCTTTTACTGTTTTGCCTACATATAATCTAAAATAAACTGCTTGCTGATTTTACCAAGCTGGTGTGGTGTTTGAAGTCAGAGGTGTTCCTGCTCTGGTATACGACAGAAGGTCAAGATGGCGGCAGGAAGGGGAGACAGAAGCAATTCTGTGTATTGTCGAAGGCTTTCATAGCCGGAATCACTGGGTTCTTGTAGGCCATGTTCTAGAGGCATTCTCTCCTGACGTTTCGCCTGCATCTATGGCAAGCATCCTCAGAGGTAGTGAGGTCTGTTGGAACTAGGAAAGTGGGTTTATATATCTGTGGAATGACCAGGGTGGGACAAAGAACTCTTGTCTGTTGGAGCTAGATGTGAATGTTTCAACTTGACCACCTTGATTAGCATTTCATGGCCTGGCAGTTGTTTGGTGTGGCTTGTTGGTGCCTGGGGCAATCTTTTGTTGAGAGGTGATTAGATGTCCCTGATTGTTTCCTCTCTGTTGTTTTGCTGTTGTAATTTTAGCGTTTTTTTAATACTGGTAGCCAGAAGCAATTCCACTTCACCTTTCAAGGAAGTTACTGTGATAGGAAAACTCAAGCAGTTTCTTGATATCATACAGACTGTTCAAGTCATGAGCTTATAAAGGAACAGTTTAGAAAGGGAAACAAGCAAACACCTGGCCCATCACGTTGTGTACCCCCTTGCAAAGAGGGGTGGATCAGTGGGGTATGCTTACATACAGTAGACACTCACCTGTGAGGTCACCCAACATCTTGGCTAGAAGCCAGCGGTCGATGTGTTGGTACGTGATCCCAACTACGTGACAGATAACTGCAAAAAACACAATAGATACAGACATTTCAGAGCCTGAAGAAGAAGAAATAAGCATACAATTGAAGAAGGAAGTACACTTACATTTCCTAACAGAGTCCTCAAATCCCGTGATCCCATCCAGGAGAGCTATGTTCTCATCCAATGCTTGCTACCAAACAACAATAACAAATATTTATAAGCATCTAAAATCAAGAACAGAGTGTCATATTTGCTATAATTCAGGGCCTTGGAATTAGAGATAATGCCTTTCACTCCACCTTGGTATCTGTTTTATTTTATGAATTAGGGAGTCTTTCTGTATTTTTTTTTTACTTCCTTAAAAATGACAATCCTATTGTCGAAGGCTTTTATGGCTGGAATCACTGGGTTGTTGTAGGTTTTTTCAGGCTATATGGCCATGTTCTAGAGACATTTTCTCCTGACGTTTCGCCTGCATCTATGGCAAGCATCCTCAGAGGTAGTGAGGTCTGTTGGAAGTAGGAAAATGGGTTTATATATCTGTGGAATGACCAGGGTGAGACAAAGGACTTTTGTCTGCTGGAGCTAGGTGTGAATGTTTCAACTGACCACCTTGATTAGCGTTTAATGGCTTGGAAGTGCCTGAGGGGAATCTTTCAAGGAAGAAACCATGAAAATGAACAAAATCTGGCTACCAGTATTAAAAAAAACTCAAAAATTACAACAGCAAAACAACAACAATCAGGCACATCAAATCACTCTCAACAAAAGATTTCCCCCAGGCACTTCCAAGCCATTTAATGCTAATCAAGGTGGTCAGTTGAAACATTCACACCTAGCTCCAACAGACAAAGGTCCTTGGTTCCACCCTGGTCATTCCACAGATATATAAACCCATTTTCCTACTTCCAACAGACCTCACTACCTCTGAGGATGCTTGCCATAGATGCAGGCGAAATGTCAGGGGGGAAAAATGCCTCCAGAACATGACCATATAGCTCGGAAAAACCTACAACAACCCAATGACAATCCTGCTTGTTGGAAAGAGTCTAACTTCTAATTTCAGAGGAATGCCCTTTTCATCTGAACAAAAATAAAGGAAAACACATACAAATGTGATTTTAGAAATTCAACACTCAAAAGGTAAGGCAGACAGCACTGTCTGTGCACTTACTGAAATGTAGAGATCCTTAAAAAGACAACTGTAAAGAGTGGCACTTTTGAGACCGAGCAGACTGAATGAGACAGACATCATTAGGGGTGTGTGATGTCTAAAACCTTTATAAATGCAAAGGGCTTCTGGTTAAAGGTAGAAGCTTGGCTTACCCAGAAAGCCTGAAAGTGGCATGTCTCCAACAGCTCACCCAAGTATAAGATCTGACGGATTGGTTTCTCTTCTTGCTGGAAGAAATGGCATTAAGGAAACTGGATATAAAATAATTAGGTTTTGTAGAACTTCTGATGGAAAAAGATAATTCCGGGGATCACAGGAACTTTTAAACTGCTTTTTGGTGTTAACTGTTGGTCCTAATCAGTGCTGCCATTATCTACTGTTACCTTTAGTAGCTTCCTAAACAGATAGCCTAAACCAGGAGTCCTCAAACTTTTTAAACAGAGGGCCAGGTCACAGTCCCTTAAACTGTTGGAGGGCCTGATTAAAATTAGAAAAAAAAAACATGAATGAATTTCTGTGCACACTACACATATCTTATTGGTAGTGCAACAAAAACCACTTAAAAACAATACAATAATTAAAATGAAGAACAATTTGTATAAATATAAACTTATTAGTATTTCAGTGGGAAGTGTGGGCCTGCTTTTGGCTGATGAGATAGGATTGATGTTGTTGTTGTGTGCTTTCAAGTAGTTTCAGGTTTAGGTTGACACTGAGTGAGGGCTGGTTAAATGACCTTGGAAGGCTGTATCCGGCCCTCGGGCCTTAGTTTGAGGACCCCTGATCTAGGAACTTAAGATCATCTGGGGATGCCCTGCCCTTGATCCTGCCTTCCTCGCAGGCGCGCCTGGCGGGAACGAGACAGGGTCTTCTCAGTGGTGGCCCCTTGGCTGTGGAACTCCCTCCCTAGGGATATTAGATCGGCCCCTTCCCTCCTGACTTTCCGAAAAAGAGTAAAAACTTGGCTCTTCGAGCAAGCGTTTGGAAACACAGCGCAATAAATAATTATGAACTACGAAGAATGAACATGGAACAGCTAGACCAGGGGTCCCCAAACTTTTTAAGCAGAGGACCAGGTCACAGTCCCTCAAACTGTTAGAGAGCCAGATTATAATTAGGAAAAAAGGACACTTTAAAACAATACAATAATTAAAATGAAGAACAGTTTTAACAAATGTAAATTATTACTATTTCAATGGGAAGTGTGGGCCTGCTTTTGGCTGATACAATAGGATTATTGTTTTTTGTTGTGTGCTTTCAAGTCGTTTCAGACTTAGGTTGACCCTGAGTGAGGGCCGGATAAACGACCTTGGAGGGCCGTATCCGGCCCCCGGGCCATAGTTTGAGGACCCCTGGCCTAAACTAACCCTGCTGAGTAGAGATAATGTTCATCACAACCCTTTAAGCTCCACTGATTTTGCTATAATAATAATAATAATAATAATAATAATAATAATAATAATATTTTATTTCTATTCCGGCCTATCTCCCCGAGGGGACATCTACGGCAAACATTCAATGCCATTATACAATTAACAAAAACAGACAATACATAAACAGAGGCAAAGACTTTTCCCATTTTCCCACTCTGGACACGGGGTGGGGTGGGGGGTGCTGCCACTCTATCTTCCAGGCTGAGGAGCTTTGTCCTTCCAAGATGGTCTCCCAATCAAAATCACCAACATGTCCTTATGGGCGCCTTTTATTACCCCCCGCTTTAAAGTAATAGCTATTTATCAACTCACATTTCTGTTTTTGATCTGCTAGGTGGTCAGGGAACTGGGGCTGATGGCAGGTGCTCATCCTGACCCGAGTTTGAACTGCCAACCTTTCGATCAGCAGGATTTTCTGCAGCTCAGCAGTTTAGCCCGCTGTGCTAAGCAGCGCTAACGTGTGTTCCTGCTTGTTAGGGTTGTTAAGCTTAAGGGTAATTATGGTTCTGAGGTCCTAACATTGGAAGATTTACTATGGTAGGATGGTAACAACCTGCTCTTCCCTTCAGCTTTCTCTGCTATAGAATACTTTCTCTTTGGGGGCCTAAAGTGTGCTGCTCTTATCCCAAGACCATGTGAAAATATTCATCAAACGTTTTTGGAGTCTAACTGGCTTTATACCAAGCGTTCATTTTAAACTAGTTTAACCTGTTTCAATCTATATTAAAAAAACGCTTCATTGTTGAGTAAAATTGAAAGCCAGCAGCTCTTGGTACACTGCAGTGCTTTCCTATTGGATCAAGGATACATGCGCTTGGTCAATCATACATTTGCAGAGTGTGAAGTCTGTGTGGGGCAGATTGGTCAGGGCCTTCAGGAGGATCTGGGCAGTCACTGTGGTTTGGAATAAGGCAGGGTTAAACTGATACCTGGAAGAGAAAGAGTATCTTGAGACTCCAAGAAGATGGGATAGGAACAATTCCGTAGATCTTTTGGCCCAACAGGTATGGCTTTTTCACTTCAACTGCACTTGTAATCAGATATATACTAATAAGTTTTCCAGCCTCTACAGTTTTGTACCACAGCTGTGAGGCAGTCATTCATAGACCCACTTTATAGGAGAATCACTAAGCTCAAACAAACCACAGCTGGGCCAAGACTAGAATATGACAGTCCACCTTCTGTAGCAAAATTGGCAAACAGTACAAATATCTGTCCAACATCTAGTGTGCCTTGAGCAGCATCATTCTGAGTTTTTGCAATGTCAGAGAAGCATACAGTAACACTCACAATTTGAGCACAGCCAGGTTGGCCTCCAAGTCATAGGCGTTCTCTTTGGCCTGGGTCTCCACATAGTGCTCCAACGTGGCCAGGTTCTCTGGGTTATATCTGAGGAAAGGATGGAGACAACATGGAGAAGCATCTAGAGCAAAGTATTGAAGAATGCCAAACAAACTTTGTCTGTTCTAGAGTTATGGAAAGGTTGGGCCCTGCTGCAAGAGAGACCCTGGGGCCTGAGTATTGCCATCCAGCTTTGCTGCCTGCTCAGCCCTAGGTTTACCCAGAAGGAGACCTGCAGCCACACCCTCATCCCAGCCAGCTGACCCAGCAGCCTCCAAGGAGAGAACATGGCCCCCGCAGCCTCACCACATGGCTACTTTAATGGCCGTGCCACTCATTGCCCGGCTGCCGGGAAACCTGCGTGGGGTGCCTCCATGGCCACGGCGCCCATCATTTGGACATTGGAACATGTGTGCAGGTTCTCGTTTTCGGGGTTCTCCTGCCTTGCCTGTTGCTTCTGGTCACTTATTCCATCAGCCCACTTTGGCTGGGATTGAATGTTTACTTTTAAGCTTTTTCATTGTATTTATATTTGAATTGTTTCAATAATATGTCATGTTTATTACTATATGTTTAAATTGATATGTCATGTTTATTATTATATGTGTAATGTAGCATTGTATGCCATGGACTGTAAGCTGCCCTAAGTCCCCCACTGGGGTGAGAAGAGCGGGGTATAAATGTACTATAATAATAATTATTATAATAATTATTATTATTTATCATCCAGAATATGTCATCTCATACTTTCACTAAAAAAACTACCATGTATACAAAGTATGTATACATCCGTCATTATGGTTGCCACATAAATGTTCATTGTCTTTTTTTCCTGCACATCTCATGTTCCATTTCCCCCCTTTTAAAAATAGACTATAAGTGATAGCTTATTAATTACAAACAGACCCTGAGTTACAAACATCCAACTAAATTTTTCAAAATCCAATTTGCACAGGGACAGACAGTGAGGTAGAATCTTCACAGCAAAACAAACAAAACGGGTGTTGACCCTATGCTAAACAAAGTTATATGCATATATTTGGATGGAGTTACACTTTAAAAATGTACCTGTTCCGACTTACATGCAAATTCATCTTTAGAACAAACCTACAGAACCTATCTTGTTCACAACTTAGGGACTGTCTAAGTCAGGGATCTTCATACTTTTTAAACAGAGGGCCAGGTCACAGTCCCTCAAACTGTTGGAGGGCCGGATTATAATTTGAAAAAAACATGAATTAATTCCTATGCACACTGCACATATTTTATTTGTAGGGCAAAAACACTTAAAAACAATACAATAATTAAAATTAAGAACAACTTAAACAAATATAAACTTATTAGTATTTCAATGGGAAGTGTGGGCCTGCTTTTGGGTGATGAGATTGTTGTTGTTGTGTGCTTTCAAGTCGTTTCAGACTTAGGTTGACCCTGAGCAAGGGCTGGGTAAATGACCTTGGAGGGCTGCATCCGGCCCCCGGGCCTTAGTTTGAGGACCCCTGGTCTAAGTTATGAACAAGATTAAAAAAAAACAGTTTAGTGTGAGAACCTCCAATGCAATAATAATAATTAAAAAAAAACAGTCAAAAGGGTCAAGTAACATGGAATCAGAGCTGGAAGAGATTCCCCCTGGGCTATCCAGTCCATTCCCATTCTGCCAGGCAGGAAGACATAATACAAGCATTATTGACCTGTTCCAACTCACGTACAAATTCAACTTAAGAACAATCTATAGAACCTACTTGTTTGTAACTTGGAAACTGCCTGTATTCTAAAGAACCACAGTTTAGTGTCAGAACCTCCAGTGCAAAAAAACCAAACCAAACCAAACCAAAAACAGACAAAAGGGTCAGGTAACATAGAATCAGAGCTGAAAGAGACCCTTGGAGTTATCCAGTCCACTCCCATGCTGCCAGGCAGGAAGACACAATAGCATTCTTGACAGATGGCCATCCAGCCTGTTCAAAAATCTTCAGAGGAGACTCCACCAGGCAGCCTCTTACAAGTCTTTCTAATGCTTAGGTCAGGCATGGGCAAACTTTGGCCCTCCAGGTGTTTTGGACTTCAACTCCCACAATTCCTAAGAGCTGCTGAACTGTTGGGAATTGTGGGAGCTGGAGTCCAAAACATCAGGAGGGAAGGCTGAAGTTTATCCAGCTTGTATTGTCGAAGGCTTTCATGGCTGGAATCACTAGGCTCTTGTGGGTTTTTTCGGGCTATAGAGCCATGTTCTAGAGGCATTTCTCCTGACGTTCCGCCTGCATCTATGGCAAGCATCCTCAGAGGTAGTGAGGTCTGTTGGAATTAGGACAATGGGTTTATATATCTGTGGAATGGCTGGGGTGGGGCAAGGAGCTCTTCCCTGCTGCAGTTAGGTGTGAATGTTTCAGCTGATCACCTTCATTAGCATTTGAATGCCTGGCTGAGCCTGGGGAAATCTCTTGCTGGGAGGTGTTAATCTGTGCCTGGTTGTTTCCTCTCTGTTGTTGTGCTGTTGTAATTTTAGAGTTTTTTAATACTGGTAGCCAGATTTTGTTCATTTTCATGATCTCTTCCTTTCTGTTAAAATTGTCCACATGCTTGTGGATTTCAATGGCTTCTCTGTGTAGTCTGACATGGTGGTTGTTGGTGTGGTCCAGCATTGCTGTGTTCTCAAATACTATGCTGTGTCCAGGCTGGTTCATCAGGTGCTCTGCTATGGCTGACTTCTCTGGTTGAAGTAGTCTGCAGTGCCTTTCATGTTCCTTGATGCGTGTCTGGGCAATGCTGCTGCGTTTGGTGGTCCCTCTGTAGACTTGTCCACAGCTGCATGGTATACGGTAGACCTGCAGAAGTGAGAGGATCCCTCTTGTCCGTTGCTGAACGTAGCATTTGTTGGATTTTCTTGGTGGGTTTGTAGATAGTTTGTATGTTGTGTTTCCTCATCAGCTTCCCTCTGCGGTCAGTGGTTCCCTTGATGTATGGCAGGAACACTTTTCTTCTGGGTGGATCTTCATCTTTACTCTTGTGGCTTGTTCTTGGTCCAGCTTGTTTTAGCATTTTGATCGCCCTCCATCTTATTAATATCCTTCTTGAAACAGAACAGTGTAAGACTATAATTACCGGGCAGGCTGTTAGGAATTGTGGGAGTTGGAGTCCAAAACACCTAGAGGGAGGGCCAAAGTCGGCTCATGCCTGGCTTAGGTAGAATCTCTTTCCCTGTAACTTGAATCCATTGCTGTATCCTAATCTCTGAAGCAGCAGAAAAAAAGCTTCCATATCTTGTATTGTCGAAGGCTTTCATGGCCGGGATCACTGTGTTGTTGTAGGTTTTTTTGGGCTATATGGCCATGTTCTAGAGGCATTCTCTCCTGACGTTTCGCCTGCACCTATGGCAAGCATCCTCAGAGGTAGCTATCATTCCATTTTGAGTCTCGGATAATAATAATAATAATAGAATCAAAGAGTTGGAAGAGACCTCGTGGGCCATCCAAACCAACCCCATTCTGCCAAGAAGCAGAAATATTGCATTCAAATCACCCCTGACAGATGGCCATCCAGCCTCTGTTTAAAATCCTCCAAAGAAGGAACCTCCACCACACCGTAGCAGAGAGTTCCACTGCTGAACAGCTGATTCAGGGGAAGGGAAGGGGAAAGATGTAACCACAGCAACCACGAATTCCCCTCCAACCTGCCAATCACTCCCTCCCTCCCTCCCTCTCTCTCAGGAATATACCTATCGATGCCCTTCAGCAGCTTCCCCACATTCGCTCGCATCTGCTCGAAGAGCGCCATGGCACGCGGAACCGGGAAGAGAAGGAGGAGAAGGATGCAACATCCACACCGGAAGCGGAAGAAGCCGGAACGCAAGGCACTTCCGGCCCGTGTCTTCCGCCGAGACATCTCTATGGTCCGTCGGCCATAGAGATTCGGAAGGAGAAGTGCGCATGCGTTGGGAAGAACGCTTTACGTCATCAAGGGGGTGGAGCTTCTCTTGGGGCAACTCATTGAGCAGAAAACACAATGTGCTCAAAAGGCCACCTGGTGGTGTTTTTGAGACAAAGTGCAGGATTATATGTCTTGTCGAAGGCTTTCATGGCTGGAATCACTAGGTTCTTGTGGGTTTTTCCGGGCTATAGGGCCATGTTCTAGAGGCATTCTCTCCTGATGTTTCGCCTGCATCTATGGCAAGCATCCTCAGAGGTAGTGAGGTCTGTTGGAACTAGGAAAATGGGTTTATATATCTGTGGAATGACCAGGGTGGGACAAAGACTCTTGTCTGCTGGAGCTAGGTGTGAATGTTTCAACTGACCACCTTGATTAGCATTTAATGGCCTGACTGTGCCTGGGAAAATCCCCTGTTGATAGGTGTTAGATGTGCCTGGTTGTTTCCTCTCTGCTGTTTTGCTGTTGTAATTTTAGAGTTTTTTAAATACTGGTAGCCAGATTTTGTTCATTTTCATGGTCTCTTCCTTTCACACATCTCTTCCACACCAACAACCACCATGTCAGGCTACACAGAGAAGCCATTGAAATCCACAAGAAAGCATGTGGACAATTTCAACAGAAAGGAAGAGACCATGAAAATGAACAAAATCTGGCTACCAGTATTAAAACTCTAAAATTCCAATAGCAAAACAGCAGAGAGGAAACAACCAGGCACATCTTAACACCTCTCCACAAAACATTTTCCCAGGCTTAGCCAGGCCTTCAAATGCTAATGAAGGTGGTCAGCTGAAACATTCACACCTAGCTTTAGCAGAGAAGAGCTCTTTGCCCCACCCCAGCCATTCATAGAATCAAAGAGTTGGACGAGACCTCATGGGCCATCCAGTCCAACCCCATTCTGCCAAGAAGCAGGAATATTGCATTCAAATCACCCCTGACAGATGGCCATCCAGCCTCTGTTTAAAAGCTTCCAAAGAAGGAGCCTCCACCACACTCCGGGCAGAGAGTTCCACTGCTGAACGGCTCTCACAGTCAGGAAGTTCTTCCTCATGTTCAGATGGAATCTCCTCTCTTGTAGTTTGAAGCCATTGTTCCGGGTCCTAGTCTCCAGGGAAGCAGAAAACAAGCTTGCTCCCTCCTCCCTGTGGCTTCCTCTCACATATTTATACATGGCTATCATATCTCCTCTCAGCCTTCTCTTCTTCAGGCAACATACCCGTCATTCCACAGATATATAAACCCATTTTCCTAATTCCAACAGACCTCACTACCTCTGAGGATGCTTGCCATAGATGCAGGCGAAACGTCAGGAGAAAATGCCTCTAGAACATGGCCATATAGCCCGAAAAAACCCACAAGAACCTATTTTAATAATATTAAAACAAAATGCAGTATTATATTTTTCAATAATTTAAATATTTTAAAATAATTATTATATAATCACAAGCAGTATTATATTTTTAAAACATTTTAATAATATTAAAATAAAATGCAGTATTATATTTTTAATAATTTTAATATTTTTATTAAGTATTATATCATCATCATCACAAGCAGTATTCTATTTTTAAATATTTTAATAATATGAAAATAAAAGGCAGTATTATATTTTTAAATAATTTTAATATTTTTAATAATTATATAATCACAAGCAGTATTATATTTTTAAAATATTTTAATAATATTAAAATAAAATGCAGTATTATATTTTTAATAATTTTAATATTTTTATTAAGTATTATATCATCATCATCACAAGCAGTATTATATTTTTAAAATATTTTAATAATATTAAAATAAAATGCAGTATTATATTTTTAAATAATTTAAATAATTTTTAATAGTTATATAATCACAAACAGTATTGTGTTTTTAATATTTTCAGTAATGCAGTATTATATTTTAAATAATTTAAATCATTTTAATAATTATAGCATCATCATCACAAGCAGTATTATTATTTTAAATATTTTAATAATATTAAAATAAAATGCAGTATTATATTTTTAATAAATTTAATATTTTTAAATAATTGTTATATCATCATCACAAGCAGTATTATTTTTTAACATTTCTTAATAATATTAAAATAATATGCAGTATTATATTTTTAAATAATTTAAATATTTTTTTAAGAATTATAGTTTGTCTGCTTGTATTCCCAGGGGATTTGCAGGATTTTTCGGTTCAACGCTGATGGAATCATTCTAGGAGTTGCATGTGACATCTGTAGACAGTTCACACATATATACAATATGCATGTACACATATAAACACACAAATACACAAATATATGCACACACATATATATACACACATATATACACCTACACACACACATATACACGCAAACACAAATATACACACAAATATATACAAACATACACACATATATGCAAAAACACACACAAATATACACATATACATACATATACACATGCACACATACATATATACATATACACATGCACACACATATACATATCCATAAACACAAATGTGCTTATAGACAAGCACACATATATACACAATATGCATGTACACATATAAACCCAGAAATACACAAATATATGCACACACGTATATATACACACATATACACGCAAATACACATATATACACAAATATATACACATACACATATATATGCAAAAACACACACAAATATACACATATACATACATATACACATGCACATGTACATGCACATATACATATATACATATATACATATATACATATACACATGCACACACATTATACGTATCCTCCACATACACAAATATGCATATAGACAAGCACACACATCTACACAATATGCATGTACACATATAAACACACAAATATGCACACACATATATATACACGCAAACACACATATACACGCAAACACACATATATACACAAATATATACAAACACATACACATATATATACACACACACCACACATATACACAGACTGGACCACAGCAATGTGTGGCAGGGGATGGCTAGTAGTTCAATAAATAAACAACTCCACTAAAAGGTACCCATTGAGGCATTGTTGATGCACAAACCCTATGTGATCACAACACACACACCCCAGTATAGAATCACAGAAGGTCAAAGGTCATCCAGTACAACCCTCCCTCAACAAAAACACAATCCAATCCTTCCCGACAGATGGCCCTCCAGCCTCTGCTTTAAAACACAGAAATGGAGACGCCACCAAATTCTTTTTGGGGTGTTGTGTGATTTCCGAGCTGTATGGGTGCATTCTAGAGGCATTTTCTCCTGACGTTTCGCCTGCATCTATGGCAAGCATCCTCAGAGGTAGTGAGGTCTGTTGGAACTAGGAAACAGGGTTTATATATCTGTGGAATGACCAGGGTGGGACAAAGACTCTTGTCTGCTGGAGCTAGGTGTGAATGTTTCAACTGACCACCTTGATTAGCATTTGATGGCCTGTCAGTGCCTGGGGCAATCTTTTGTTGAGAGGTGATTAGATGTCCCTGATTGTTTCCTCTCTGTTGTTTTGCTGTTGTAATTTTAGAGTTTTTTTTTAGTACTGATAGCCAGATTTTGTTCATTTTCATGGTTTCCTCCTTTCTGTTGAAATTGTCCACGATGCTTGTGGATTTCAATGGCTTCTCTGTGTAGTCTGACATGGTGGTTGTGAGAGTGGTCCAGCATTTCTGTGTTCTCAAATAAAATGCTGTGTCCAGGTTGGTTCATCAGGTGCTCTGCTATGGCTGACTTCTCTGGTTGAAGTAGTCTGCAGTGCCTTTCATGTTCCTTGATTCGTGTTTGGGCAATGCTGCTGCGTTTGGGGGTCCTTATGTAGACCGTATACCATGCAGCTGTGGACAAGTCTACATAGGGACCACCAAACGCAGCACCCAATCTGGGACATCTAATCACCTCCCAACAAAATTGCAACAGCACAACAGAGAGGAAACAATCAGGGACATCTAATCATCTCTCAACAAAAGTTTGCTCCAGGCACAGTCAGGCCATTGTATGCTAATCAAGGTGGTCAGTTGAAACATAGCTCCAGCAGACAAGAGTCCTTTGTCCCACCCTGGTCATTCCACAGATATATAAACCCATTGTCCTACTTCCAACAGACCTCACTACCTCTGAGGATGCTTGCCATAGATGCAGGCGAAATGTCAGGAGAGAATGCCTCTAGAACATGGCCATATAGCCCGACAAAACCTACAAAAACCCAGTGATTCCGGCCATGAAAGACTTCGACAATACAAAGGCCTTTTTATTGAAGCAGGCCTATTTATTGGATTAAATTGGGATATAAACAACTCCATTAAAAGGGACCAAAAGAGGAAGAGCCGATGGTGCACAAGCACAATTTGAACTCCACATCCCTCTCATCGAGATCTTGCGCACTCGTCTCGGGGCTCGCATAAAACCAATCATGCTTCAAATCAGGAAGCAGAGCACTGAGAAATTTATCAGCGGCTCTGACCACATTGCTTCTGACGCCTACGCCCGAAAAGGCACCAGCCCTGCAGCCTCCGCTTCGTCAAGCCGAAGAATGGATGCCCAAGAACGAGCCGCTCTAGATATTTCCACCAGAAACCCTCAAGAAGACTTTGAACTTCTGCAGCGAGTTGGCGGAGGGACCTATGGGGAAGTCTTTAAGGTAACCACACACCCTTCTTGCCTGGAAAGTTTGTCTCGGGTAGCACATTGGGGCATATTGGGCTTTATCGTTTTCCTTGTGAGTTAATCAAACTCACAACCTCTGAGGATACTTGCCGTAGATGCAGGCAAAACGTCAGGAGAGAATGCTTCTGGAGCATGGCCGTACAGCCCGTAAACACACAGAACAACCCAGTGATTCCAGACATGAAAGCCTTTGACAATTTTTGTAGGCATTATCTATATAAATAAAAATGTAATGGTTGGGGTGTTGTTGATGCAGGCGAAACGTCAGGAGAGAATGCTTCTAGAACATGGCCATATAGCCCGAAAAAACCTACAACAACCCAGTAATCAAACTGTGTTTCATTATGGGATGTGGCGGATAATAATTAATAAATATGAAGTTTAAAACAAAGCAGAGTAAGAAAATGCATTAAAAAAAAACACAATGTGTGCCGTGGAACTCACAGCCACATGATAAAAGCTGACAAGTGAGTTTGCGATCACATTTCTTTGTGTTGTCTTTGTGTTGTTGGACACTTTTATGGCCGGAATCACTAGATTGCTGTAAGTTTTTCGGGCTGTATGGCCATTTTTTTTGGTCGTGTTAGGAGAGACTTGAGAATCTGCAAGTCGCTTCTGGTATCAGAGAATTGGCCGTCTGCAAGGACGTTGCCCAGGGGACGCCCGGATGATTTGATGTTTTTATCATCCTTGTGGGAGGCTTCTCTCATGTCCCCGCATGAGGAGCTGGAGCTGATAGAGGGAGCTCATCCGCCTCTCCCCGGATTCGAACCTGCGACCTGTCTGTCTTCAGTCCTGCCGGCACAGGGGTTTAACCCACTGCGCCACCGGGGGCTGTATGGCCATGTTCCAGAAGCATTCTCTCCCGATGTTTCGCCCACATCTATGCAGGCATCCTCAGAGGTTGTGGGGTACGTATATTAGAAACTAAGCAAGGGAGATTTATATATCTGTGGAATTTTCTGGGTGGGAGAAATCCACAGATATATAAACTGCTGAACTTGCTGACCAAAAGGTCACAGGTTCAAATTTGGGGAGTGGCATGAGCTCCCGTTGTTAGCCCCAGTTTCTGCCAACCTAGCAGTTGTAAGTAGATCAATAGGTACCGAAGGTAACAGCACTCGATGCAGTCATGCCGGCCACATGACCTTGAAGGTGTCTATGGACAACGCCGGCTCCTCGTCTTAGAAATGGAGATGAGCACCAACCCGCAGAGTCAGACACGACTGGACTTAATGCCAGGGGGAAACCTTTACTATTACCTTACTCACATTCATCAAGGTACTGAAGGTAACAGCACCCGATGCAATCATGCCGGCCACATGACCTTGAAGGTGTCTATGGACAATGCCAGCTCCTCATCTTAGAAATGGAGATGAGCACCAACCCGCAGAGTCAGACACGACTGGACTTAATGTCAGGAGGAAACCTTTACCTTTACCTTACTCATATGCATCAAATGGAAGATCTGTGGGCCAAATGCAGCCCACTGTGTCCTTTTATGTGTCCCTCCAAATGCTGGGCTTCAACTCCTCCATTTCTCATCATTAGGCGTCATGACTAATGATGTGAGTTTGAATGCAGGAACATCTGGAAGGCTGCAGTTTTTTTTAGTGAATCATATTAATTGTTATATATCAAATATTTATTATTGTAACAGTAATTGTTATTACCACATAATAGTAATTATTATTGTAATAGCCCAGAAAACTAACAACCAGTAATTATTATTATTATTTAGCAAATCATAGTAACTATAATTTAGTAAATCATACTTATTATTATTATTTAACAAATTATTATTATGTAATGTAATATTAATTATTATTAATATTGAGCAAATAATAGTAATTGTTATAATTATTTAACAAATAATAGTAACTATTATTATTTAGCCAAGAGGCCTGAACTATATTTTGAAGGATCAGATTCTCTTCTACATTGCTTCTGAAAATAATTACCTTACCTTTTACCTATTATTATTATTATTGAGCAAAGAGGCCTGGAAAGAAAGAAAGATCTATATCTATTCATTTCCATATCTCTTTGCTAAATAATATTATTATTATTATTTAGCAAATACTGTAGTAGTAATTATAATTGTAATTATTATTATTGAGCAAATCATAGTGATTATTTTTATAATAGCAATTATTATTTAGCAAATCAGATTAATTATTATATATCAAATAATTATTATTGTAATAGTAATTATTATTACCACATAATAGTAATTATTATTTTAATAGCCCCAAAAACTTACAACCAGTAGTTATTATTGTATTGTCGAAGGCTTTCATGGCCGGAATCACTGGGTGTTGTAGGTTTTTTCGGGCTGTATGGCCATGGTGCAGAGGCATTCTCTCCTGACGTTTCGCCTGCATCTATGCACCTCTGAGGATGCTTGCCATAGATGCAGGCGAAACGTCAGGAGAGAATGCCTCTAGACCATGGCCATACAGTAGTTATTGTTATTTAGCAAATCATAGTAATTATTATTTAGCAAATCATAGTTGTTATTATTATTTAACAAATTATTATTATGTAATGTAATATTAATTATTATTAATATTGAGCAAATAATAGTAATGATTATAATTATTTAGCAAATAATAGTAACTATTATTATTATTTAGCCAAGAGACCTGGACTATATTTTGGAGGACCACATTTTCTCCTACTTTGCTTCTGAAAATAATTACCTCGCCATTTCCCTATTTAATAGGAATTTATTTTTTTTCCTATTTATATTTTGTATGTTTTTAATTATATATATAAATAGAGAGTTAGCCTTTTGTGTCTGTGGCTTCAACGACCCTTTGAAGGCCGATATGGCTTTCCATTAAAGTGAATTTTAACAGCCCTATCGTACTGGATAACGCTCACTTGGGTTCATGGGAGAAAAAGAGGAGTGAAATATGATGAATGCAAAAAATAAATGCAATCGACTGGCCAACCTTAAGGGGACCAAGTTGAGGGAAACCCTTTTGTGGCTTTTATAGGACTATAATTCTTAGGAAATGTCGTTTGCCACATGTCATTGACATTTCGTCTTTCTTTTCTGAAGAAAGGAAGTTTGGGCAGAGTGGGTGGCTATTAAACAAATGTGTCAGCTATTTAAAAAAAGGAAAATATCTTGCTTTAAGAGAACACATCTGGACGATAAATTCAAAATATGCTGATGGTACGATCTCATTACTGTCCAGGTTTTCCTTTCCCCCATTTCCTTATTCTATCTCGTGGAGATAAAAAGCAGGGTGTATAGAAACAATAATCCAATGTGGGCTAGGCAAAACTACGGTGAGGTGGATCTGTAATTGGTTAAATGGACGAACCCAGAGGGTGATGCTCCCCAAGGCTTCCTCTTCATCTTGGAAAGAAGTGACGAGTGGAGTGCCACAAGAAGGGTTCCGTCCTGGGCCCGGTCCTGTTCAGGATCTTTATTAATGACTTAGATGAAGGGTTAGAAGGCATGATCATCAAGTTTGCAGGTGACACCAAATTGGGAGGGAGAGACAGTACTCCAGAAGACAGGAGCAGAATGCAAAACAATCTTAACAGATTAGAGAGATGGTTGACCAAAAGTGCAACAGGGACAAATGCAAGATACTCCACTTAGGCAGAAAAAACGAAATGCAAAGATACAGAATGGGGGACGATGCCTGGCTCGAGAGCAGTACGTGTGAAAAAGATCTTGGAGTCCTCGTGGACAACAAGTTAAACATGAGCCAACAATGTGATGTGGCGGCAAAAAAAGCCAATGGGATTTTGGCCTGCATCAATAGGAGCATAGTGTCTAGATCTAGGGAAGTCATTCTACCCCTCTATTCTGCTTTGGTTAGAGCACACCTGGAATATTGTGTCCAATTCTGGGCACCACAATTCAAGAGAGATATTGACAAGCTGGAATGTGTCCAGAGGAGGGTGACTCAAATGATCAAGGGTCTGGAGAACAAGCCCTATGAGGAGCGGCTTAAGGAGCTGGGCATGTTTAGCCTGAAGAAGAGAAGGCTGAGGAGATATGATAGCCATGTATAAATATGTGAGAGGAAGCCACAGGGAGGAGGGAGCAAGCTTGTTTTCTGCTTCCTTGGAGACTAGGACGCGGAACAATGGCTTCAAACTACAAGAGAGGAGATTCCATCTGAACATGAGGAAGAACTTCCTTACTGTGAGAGCCGTTCAGCAGTGGAACTCTCTGCCCGGAGTGTGGTGGAGCTCCTTCTTTGGAAGCTTTTAAACAGAGGCTGGATGGCCATCTGTCAGGGGTGATTTGAATGCAATGTTCCTGCTTCTTGGCAGGGGATTGGACTGGATGGCCCATGAGGTCTCTTCCAACTCTTTGATTCTAGGATTCTATGAATAATAATAATGCTATAAGACTCGAAGAGACGCTTGCTGAAATTCCCTCAACTATACAGCCATTATAGGGATAAGAGCTTATGACCTTGAGCCAATCCTATTTCATTTTATAATGCAAAAGGCCCCTTATGAAAAATTTACTTTATTAACTGGTTTTGTGAGAAAAATACAGTAATAGTGAAATTGAGCAATTTAAAGCAGCCATGGGTATTGAGATCTGGGCCATGGATAGTGAAACCTTGAGTGCAGATACTGAGTTCCAAGGAGGAGATTCCATCTGAACATGAGGAAGAACTTCCTGACTGTGAGAGCCGTTCAGCAGTGGAACTCTCTGCCCCGGAGTGTGGTGGAGGCTCCTTCTTTGGAAGCTTTTGAACAGAGGCTGGATGGCCATCTGTCAGGGGTGATTTGAATGCAATATTCCTGCTTCTTGGCAGAATGGGGTTGGACTGGATGGCCCAGGAGGTCTCTTCCAACTCTTTGATTCTGTGATTCTATGAAATAAGTATCTGATATGCAGGATGAATTTTCATTCACTGGACCACATTTGACACAAATACCCAATATGCCCAAATTTGTATACTGGTGGGATTGGGCTGGGGGATTGCTTTCGCAATTTGGGAGTCGTAGTTGCTGGGATTTATAGTTCACCTACAATCAAAGAGTATTCTGAACTCCATCAATGATGGAATTGAACCAGACTTCGCACACAGGAGTCCCATGACCAACACAAAAAATACTGGAAGGGTTTGGTGGGCATTCACCTTGAGTTTTGGAGTTGTAGTTCACCTACATCCAGAGAGCACTGTGGACTCAAGCAAGGAGTAAGCATTTACTTACTTAGGCGATCCCTCGTTGGCCGAGTAGAATAGTCTTCCAGAATCAGTATTTTTGTGGGTCCATAGGTGACTGTGGAGCCCTATTCTTGATCTGCATCTTCTCCCGCTGTGAGGGCATCAGTTTCCAGATGGAAGGTGGTCTTGGTCAGGGTTGGGTGGACATGCCTTCCTCTTGGCACGTTTCTCTCTTTCACCCTCCATTCATGCCTCTTCAAATTCTGCAGCACTGCTGGTCACAGCTGACCTCCAGGTGGAGCGCTCAAGGGCCAGGACTTCCCAGTTCTCAGTGTCCATGCCAAGAGTTTTAAAGCTTGGCTTTGAGCCCATCTTTAAATCTCTTTTCCTGTCCTCCAACATTTCGTTTTCCGTTCTTGAGTTCAGAGTAGAGCAACTGCTTTGGGAGATGGTGGTCAGGCATCCAGACGATGTGGCTGGTCCAGCAGAGTTGATGGCGGAGGACCTTCACTTCAGTGTTGGTGGTCCTTGCTTCTTCCAGCACGCTGATGTTTGTCCGCTTGTCTTCCCAAGAGATTTGCAGGATTTTCTGGAGGCAGCGCTGAGGAATCATTCCAGGAGTTGCATGTGACATCTGTAGACAGTCCATGTTTTGCAGGCATATAGCAGGGTTGGGAGGACAAGAGCTTTATAAACAAGCACCTTGGTATCGCTACGGATGTCCCGGTCCTCAAACACTCTCTGCTTCATTCGGAAAAACTGTGCACTTGCAGAGCTCAGGCGGTGTTGTATTTTGGTGTCGATGTTGACTTTGGAGGAGAGGTGGCTGCCAAGGTAGCGGAAATGGTCAACATTTTCTAATGTTACACCATTAAGCTGTATCTCTTGCATTGGAGAGGGGATGGCTGGTGACTGCTGGAACAGCACTTTGGTTTTCTCGATGTTCAATGACAGGCTGAGCTTCTCGTAAGCTTCTGTGAAGGTGTTTAGAGTGGCTTGTAGATCTTCTTCTGAATGCACACAGACAACATTGTCATCAGCATATTGGAGGTCTATAACAGATGCTGTCGTAACCTTGGTTTTGGCTTTCAGTCTGCTGAGGTTAAACAGCTTGCCATCTGTGCGATAGATGATTTCCACTCCAGTGGGAAGCTTCGCATCAACAAGATGAAGTATTATAGCGATGAAGATGGAGAACAAAGTTGGCGCAATAACACATCCCTGTTTGACACCTGATTCCACCTTAACTGGGTCACTGCTCTTCAAGACTGTTGCCATCATGCCATCATGGAGGAGCTGCAGGATGTTCACAAATTTGTTTGGGCCCCTGATTTTTTGGAGGATGGTCCAGAGAGCGCTGCAATTCACTGTGTTGAATGCCTTTGCAAAGTCAATGAATGCCATGTACAGAGGTTGATTTTGTTCCCTGCATTTTTCTTGGAGCTGTCAGATATTTACATCCTGCATATCAGATATTTACATTACGATTCATAACAGTATGAGATAGCAACAAAAATAATGCTATGATTGGGCGCAGGGGCGGCTCGCCCATTACGCGAAGTAAGCGGTCGCAGAACACTTTTTTTGCCAGGGGCGCAGAGGCGCCTCTGTAAATGCCCCTCGACTGCCACTTGAGGAGCGCCCCCTCAGCTCACAACAGCCCTAGCAGTCCGGGGGAGCCTCGGCTTTCTTGCCTCGCTGCCGGGCGATCCTCTTCCCAAAGGGGCCGGGCCCTTGAGCCTCGCCTAGCCCCTCTCGTTCCTGCTCCACCCAGCCACCGGGTGCGCAAGCAGAGCCGGCGCTCAATCGTTCTCCGCGTTCGATCCCTTCCCCATGACCGGCTCCCTTTCCCGATCCCCCGGCGCTCCACCCGCCTCCTCTCCTCTCCCCAATCCGCGGGTGGGCCAAGGGGCGGAGCTGCCGCACCTGGCCCGCTTCAGGTCCGGAGGCGTGTCTGAAGACCCCAGCGTGCGCACCAAAAGTCGCCTCTTCTCCTGACTTTCTCTTCAGCCATTGGGACCAAGAGAGAGAGAGAGAGAGAGAGAGAGCCCCTCCGGCTGGAGGTATCTCCCACCTCCGCTCCCTCCTTTGTTTTTGTGCCTACCTTCAGGAAAGGTGGGCATCTCCACCTCTCTCTCTCTCTCTTGGTCCCAATGGCTGAGGAGAAAGTCAGGAGAAGAGGTGACTTTTGGTGCACACGCCGGGGTCTTCAGGCACGCCTCCGGACCCAAAGTGGGCCAGGCAAGGGAGCAAGTGCGGCAAGTGTAGTTACTGGGATGTATAGTTCACCTACAATCAAAGAGCATTCTGAACTCCACCAATGATGGAATTGAACCAAATATGGCACACAGAACTCCCACGACAAACAGAAAATATATATCAATGATTGGTTGGGGGGGGGGGCAAAAAACTGTTTGCTTACCATTGAAAATTACCTAGGGCCGCCTCTGGTTGGGCGTCACCACAACATGAGGAACCATATTAAGGGGTCGCGGCATGAGGAAACATGAGAAACACTGATTTAGGGGTTGGGTCACAATATAACTAAAAAGGGAAATTGTGTTTCAAAATAGTATCCTGGGTGCTAATGGCTTTTGCTGGGCTCCTCCAGACCGTCGATCATCGACAAAAATGGATTTTAAAATAGAAAAGGATCTCACCGGTGACATCTTGTCCCCATCACTATCCAAGGGAGACAATTAGATATATTTTGAACTTGCCTTTCTTCATAATTGTGAAGGAATTGTGAGATTCCTGTCAGCCATTTTTACCTCAGAATTTTAACTCAAATCCATTTTTTCTAGTGAAATTGAGTTCTGTTTTGACAATTTTAGACACACAACTTGGTTAAAACCTCTCTTTGTGAATATATTTATGATGAAGCATGCTTTTCTTTTATGTATTTTTCAGGCAAAAAACAAAGAAAGCGGGAAATTGGCTGCAATTAAGATTGTCAAGATGGAAGCTGGTGAGTTGAGAGGAAGAAGAAGCCACAAAATAACAACGACAGAACACAATTGGAAAATATCCAGAGAATTGGGTTTAATGGGAATCTTTATTTACATGAAAAGTACAGAAAGTGGCCTCATGGATCGTTTTTACCACAAAAATTCAAATTTTGTTTGAAAACACTGACTGGAAAACTCCATATATTTGCCACAGACATAATTTGAGTCTCTTCATGTACAAAATGGAAGTGTTTTGAATATGTTCAGGAGAATATTAGAGGCAGCAAACATCATATTTGGGTGTCATACCCTATTGAATTTTGAGTTAAATTATTATTATTATTATTATTATTATTATTATTATTATTATTCTTTTCCCCTCTAAGGTTTGAGTCCCAAAGTGGTTAACAACCTTAAAACTATACTATTAGAAACATACAAAATATGAAAATAGAATTAAGTGTTACAATTATTAAAATAATTCAGTTAAATTGTTATTAAATAAGTAAAAAAATGTGAGGATTTCCCCCCCAGAAGCAATGTAGAAGAAACTGTGTTGTTGTAGGTTTTTTTCAGGCTATATGGCCATGTTCTAGAGGCATTTTCTCCTGACGTTTCTCCTGCATCTATGGTAAGCATCCTCAGAGGTAGTGAGGTCTGTTGGAACTAGGAAAAAGGGTTTATATATCTGTGAAATGACCAGGGTGGGACAAAGGACTCTTGTCTGCTGGAGCTAGGTGTGAATGTTTCAACTGACCACCTTGATTAGCATACAATGGCCTGACTGTGCCTGGAGCAAACTTTTGTTGAGAGGTGATTAGATGTCCCTGATTGTTTCCTCTCTGTTGTTGTGCTGTTGCAATTTTAGAGTTTTTTTAATACTGGTAGCCAGATTTTGTTCATTTTCATGGTTTCCTCCTTTCTGTTGAAATTGTCCACATGCTTGTGTGTTTCAATGGCTTCTCTGTGTAGTCTGACATGGTGGTTGTGAGAGTGGTCCAGCATTGAACAAAATTTCCAATATTATATTATTTTTCCTACATCTTTATAGATCTTTATAGGAAGGATAGTAATATCGAGGATAGTTTGGACGGTGTGGTGAGCGAATTAGAACCAAACATCCTGAGGAGTGAGGTTGAATGGGCCTTAAGAAGCAAGCACGCTCCATCCATGTTCCATCCAAGCAACCAAAAGTTGCCAAGGTGATGCATGCCATATGCCAGCAAATATGGAAAACACAAGAATGGCCATCAGAATGGGGGAAAAAAAATCAACTTATATCCCCATACCAAAAAAGGGAAATGCTAAAGACTGCTCAAACTTCCGTACTGTGGGCCTTATTTCTCCTGCCAGTAAGGTAATGCTCAAGATCCTGCAAGGAAGACTCCAGCAAGACATGGAGAGAGAGTTGCCAGATGTTCAAGCTGGGTTTAGAAAAGGCAGAGGAACAAGAGACCAAATTGCCGATATCCGCCGGATAATGGAGAAAGGCAGGGAGTTTCAGAAAAACATCTATTTCTGTTTTATTGACTATTCTAAAGCCTTTGACTGTGTGGCTCATAATAAATGGTGGCAAGTTCTTGGTGGTATGGGCATACCAAATCACCTTGTCTGTCTCCTGAGGAATCTGTATAATGACCAAGAAGCAACAGTAAGAACTGACCATGGGACAACAGACTGGTTCAAGATTGGGAAAGGCATACGGTAGGGTTGTATACTCTCACTCAACCTATTCAACTTGTATGCAGAACACACATTGTGTGGGGCTTGACGAATGCAAGGCTGGGGTTAAAACTGCTGGAAGAAACATTCACAGCCTTAGATATGCAGATGATACCACTTTGATGCCGAAAGCGAGGAGGAGCTGAGGAGCCTTCTAATCAAGGTGAAAGAAGAAAGCGCAAAAGCTGGGTTGCAGCTAAACATAAAAAAAAACCAAGATTATGGCAACAAGAATGATTGACAACTGGGAAATAGAGGGAGAAAACGTGGAGGCCATGATAGGGTTTGTATTTCTAGGTGTGAAGATTACTGCAGATGCAGACGGCAGCCAGGAAATCAGGAGACGCTTACTTCTTGGGAGGAGAGCAATGTCCAGTCTCTATAAAATAGTGAAGAGTAGAGACATCAGACTGGCAATGGTATTAAAGCAATGGTATTCCCCATAGTTACCTACGGATGTGAGAGCTGGACCTTAGGGAAGGCTGAGCGAAGGAAGATAGACGCTTTTGAACTGTGGTGTTGGAGGAAAGTTTTGAGAGTGCCTTGGACAGCGAGAAGATCCAACCAGTCCATCCTCCAGGAAATAAAGCCCGACTGCTCACTGGAGGGAAGGATACTAGAGACAAAGTTGAAGTACTTTGGCCACATCATGAGGAGACAGCAAAGCCTGGAGAAGACAATTATGCTGGGGAAAGTGGAAGGCAAAAGGAAGAGGGGCCGACCAAGGGCAAGATGGATGGATGGCATCCTTGAAGTGACTGGACTGACCTTCAGGGAGCTGGGGGTGGCGACGGCCGACAGGGATGGTCCATGAGGGCACAAAGAGTCGGAAATGACTGAACGAATGAACAACAATTTTTCAAAACATATATAAAAGGTGGAAACAATGTCATTTAGTGTCACTTTGTAGTCACTTTTAAAGCTTACTTTATATGGCATGTTTAGAGGCACCTTGAGGTGGGTTGTTGTTGTTGTTTTGCTATTTTATACATCGTAAGAAAGGAGCTCCTGGTGGCGCAGTGGGTCAAAGCGCTGAGTTGCTGAACTTGCTGACCGAAAGGTCACAGGTTCAAATCTGGGGAGTGGCGTGAGCTCCCGCTGTTAGCCCCAGCTTCTGCCAACCTAGCAGTTCGAAAACATGCAAATGTGAGTAGATCAATAGGTACCACTCCAGCGGGAAGGTAACAGCACTCCATGAAGTCATGCTGGCAACATGACCTTGGAGGTGTCTATGGACAACGCTGGCTCTTCGGCTTAGAAATGGAGATGAGCACCAACCCCCAGTGTCGGACACGACTGGACTTAGTGTCAGGGGAAAACCTTTACCTTACATCCTAAGATGTCTCATCTCTGCTTTTAAATATAATGAAACAATGAGCAACGAGTGAGTTATTTTTTAAAAATAGTGGAACAAATGATGAGTTATAAACATAATACCAAGTCAGAGGGGAAAATTACTTTTAAGACTTTCCAGGCTCTGGGAAATAACTAGCAAATAACAGGGGGGAAATTTAACATTTCTCAGGCCTGGTGTTTCTTACACCTGGAATATTGTGTCCAATTCTGGGCACCACAATTCAAGAGAGATATTGACAAGCTGGAATGTGTCCAGAGGAGGGCGACTAAAATGATCAAGGGCTGGAGAACAAACCCTATGAGGAGCGGCTTAAGGAGCTGGGCATGTTTAGCCTGAAGAAGAGAAGGCTGAGAGGAGATATGATAGCCATGTATAAATATGTGAGAGGAAGCCACAGAGAGGAGGGAGCAAGCTTGTTTTCTGCTTCCCTGGAGACTAGGACGTGGAACAATGGCTTCAAACTACAAGAGAGGAGATTCCATCTGAACATGAGGAAGAACTTCCTGACTGTGAGAGCCGTTCAGCAGTGGAACTCTCTGCCCCGGAGTGTGGTGGAGGCTCCTTCTTTGGAAGCTTTTAACAGGCTGGATGGCCATCTGTCAGGGGTGATTTGAATGCAATATTCCTGCTTCTTGGCAGAATGGGGTTGGACTGGATGGCCCATGAGGTCTTTTCCAACTCTTTGATTCTATGATTCTATGGTTTATGGAGGAAAGATGGATATACCTTAATTAGGTAAGTAAATAAACAAACCATTTCTCCAACTGTGGCAATGGTACATTGCATACAACTCTAGAGTAAAGCGCAATTGTGAGAGCAAGTTTAGTCTCAGAATAACATGTTTCAGAGTCATCCTATCTGCCCTTTTCTCCCTTTTTAAAATATCATTTCCTTTCTTTCCCTTTCGCACGCACACACACATGCTTGTTAATTTCCTCTTTTCTCATTTTTCTAAATTAAGAAAAAGGAAGAAGAAAGATACCCCCTACTTTCCAAAGAAGATACTTAATATGTTTATGTTTGAAAAGATGTGCACATCTATGACAATTCATGCCAGGACTAGTTTGGCCTGAAAAATATAATTGAACTAAAAATATAATTTCAATATTCTTCTTTTTTTCCTATTCAGATGATGATTGTGCCATTATTCAGCAGGAGATCCTGATGGTGAAAACGTGCAAACACCACAACATTGTTGCCTACTATGGAAGCTATATTCGGTGAGAAAAGAAAAAAATCCCTCTGAATGGGGCCAGCCTTATTCATGGCACCATTCCATTTTAATGTTTGTATTTTTTATGTTTTAATTGCATTGTGTTGATTTTTATTGTATACTAGCTTGGGAACCTGGTAGGGCCCGGGTTATTAGAGAAAGGCATTTTCTGTTTTGAGAAGTTTGGTAATATCAGTTTGGGAATGTGGTCTTTGGAAGTGAATGAAGGTACTGCAAGTCCAGATCCATTGTTGGTTGCGTTCACAGTGTTATCTGGATGTAGATGAACTACAACTATAAATCAAGGTCAATTCCCCCAAACCTGGTCATGGGGGTTTTACATGCCAAATGTAGTCCAGGTGTATTATCAAAGTGTCTTGGACCTGCTGGACCACATCAAGTGCTGTGTCTTCATGTAGGGTGAACTACAACTTCCATCCTGTTTATTATTTATTATTATTTATTTAGAGCTTTTATAACCCGGTCTTCTTGACCTCCGAAGAGGGACTCAGGCCGGCTAACAGCAGAAAATTAATACACAAATAGAATAAACATAATAGCATCATAATACATTAATACTAAAATACATTAAAATACAGACCATACAATTACAAAAGCCAGGTCGTCAAAGAAAAACCACAAATTCATCACCATCCGCCTGTGTGGTCAGCCGTTATTGACTTGATCATCATTCTGCAAATGCTATGTTCCAAAGCCAAGATTTTACCAGCTTTCTGAAAGTCAGGAGGGAAGGGGCAGATCTAATCTCCAACGGGAGAGAGTTCCAGAGCCGAGGGGCCACCACCGAGAAGGCCCTGTCCCTCATCCCCACCACACGCGATTGCAAAGGTGGTGGGACTGAGAGCAGGGCCCCTCCAGAAGATTTCTGGGAGTTGTAGGCCAAAACACCTGGGGACCCACAGGTTGAGAACCACTGGTTTAACCCATTGTGCTACCGGGGGTCTCCAATAATAATGATGATGATGATGGTTCAAATCTCTGCTCTGCTGTGAAACCCATGGGATGATTTTGGGCAAGTCACACACTCTCAGTCTCAGAAGAAGGCAATGGCAAACCTCTTCTGAACATATCTTGCCAAGATAACCCTGTGATAGGGTTGCCATAGTCCAGGTGTTGCTTCTTGTAGGCATACAAGAAGAAGAAAAGTGGAGTTAGGTCAGAGTCAGAGGATCCTACAATGTCATAGGGAGCATTGTGTGCTAAAATGATTTTAGCTTGGTGCAGCTGTTCAAGCCTCGTTTCCCTCCTTGCAGTCTTATCCTATACACCTGGCCCTTAATTCAAAGCATTTCCTCTGTTGTTTCACCAGATCGAACAAACTGTGGATTTGCATGGAGTTCTGTGCGGGAGGCTCTCTTCAAGATGTCTACCAAGGTAAAGCTGATTTTGTACTTCCTTCCTGTGAATGGACAGATTTGGATGCTCAGTCCTTCGCGTCCTTTCTACCATACTCTGTAACATTTTGCACATGATGAAGTGTGGCCAAGGTAACAAAGTTCTTTTAATGAGGAAAGCAAGGAAAGAGTGCAGGAGTTTGCTTTTGCCTGAGTCTGTCAGGAAGGACAAGATTTTGTGTGTCACATGATCCCAGGCATATTGGGATATAAAACTGGCATAAAATCAGTATTTACTGATAATAAATCATAAAGAAATGTATTTGATGTTGCAGGACTTAAATCATGCCTGCTGGCATGCATGGTTTGCAGTCTCAAGTGTCAGAATATACCCCATTGCCTCTCCTTTTTTTCTCCGCTCGAGGTGGCAAGCTTCACAATTTTTTATAACTCCCGCATTCAGTTAGGGGATCCCAAATGGGATCACAACCCACTGTTTCAGAAGCTTTAGAATCATAGAATCAAAGAGTTGGAAGAGACCTCATGGGCCATCCAGTCCAACCCCCTGCCAAGAAGCAGGAATATTGCATTCAAATCACCCCTGACAGATGGCCATCCAGCCTCTGTTTAAAAGCTTCCAAAGAAGGAGCCTCCACCACACTCCGGGGCAGAGAGTTCCACTGCTGAACGGCTCTCAGAGTCAGGAAGTTCTTCCTCATGTTCAGATGGAATCTCCTCTCTTGTAGTTTGAAGCCATTGTTCCATTGCGTCCTAGTCTCCAGGGAAGCAGAAAACAAGCTGGCTCCCTCCTCCCTGTGGCTTCCTCTCACATATTTATACATGGCTATCATATCTCCTCTCAGCCTTCTCTTCTTCAGGCTAAACATGCCCAGCTCCTTAAGCCACTCCTCATAGGGCTTGTTCTCCAGACCCTTGATCATTTTAGTCACCCTCCTCTAAGCCGCTGTTTCCTAAATAGAACCCTTCAGAAGTGTTGCTCTACATACACTCAGTTACCATCATCCCCAAGTTCAAGGTCAGGACTCTCCCAGACCCTGAGATTTAAGAACCAAAATCTGAGGATTTGGGGCAAATCTTTGTGATGCCATAAGGTTCACTTCCATGTCATACAATATGAGGCATCCCCTTGGGATGACATTAACCATCAACAAGTCATATAGAGCAGGCAATTTAGATCTAAAACACCACACAGCCCTATATCCAGAATATCAGGGCAGCAAGTGCCAGTGCCAGTGCCAGTGACATCGGCCGCACAGCAAGGCAGGAACACGATCAATCACAGCCACTTTAGGTTATAAACTACTTTATTTTACAGCTATATACGTTAGAAGCTACTTAACACTCAGCACATCGTAAACTTTGCTTCTACACCGTCCGACCCGTAAAATCGCAAACACACGAACTGCCATCAGTACTAGTCCACACCTCTTGCATTCCAGAGTGACGTATGACGTACGACGTGCACAACGCTGCGTCCATTTGCTCTATACATTTGATTTCTGACCTCTCTAGGAATGCTGTTCCCTCCATGGTTCAGTTAACTCTTTCCACACAGGAGTACACTCGACACATAGCTACTGCATTTTAAACATACATACATACTTTGAAATCTACATTATAAATTGCAAACAGCTTTCACAGTAAGTCCCACAATATCTGCTTTGAACTGGATTATCTGAGTCCACACTCAGATAATGTGGGATTTTCTGCCTTGATATTCTGGGATATAGGGCTGTGTGGAAGGGTCCCAAGTCTAATAAAGAAGAAAAATAGATATACACAGAGTTTTCAAGCCCTGAGAATCCTCCGTCTTGTACTGAGGACCAGAGAAGAGAAGTCAGTCTGTGAGATACAATGTCCACACTGCCATATATTTCAGCTCAAAGCAGAAAATGTGGGATTTGATTCAGCTGTGTGGAAGGGGCCCTTGTCTCCAACAAGCCATATTATGCAAGTAAAGCATGTGCTCTATCATCATCCAAAACCATTTGGGGGTGATGGGAGTTGTATACCATCACATCTGGAGTCTGCTTAGCTGGGGATGATTGATCTAGGCAAGTGGTTCTCAACCTGTGGGTCTTCAGGTGTTTTGGCCTTCCAACTCTATATGTTAATTTTTTAACTATATTTTATGTTGTTACGGGCATTGAATTATGCCGATTGCAAACCGCCTTGAGTCACGTTTGTGGGATTAACAGAACTCAAAAACCAGTGGGCCAATTGACACCAAATTTGGACAGCATAGACCTAACAACCCAATGTATGTCCTTCACTCAAAATGTTTTGATTCTGTCATTTGGGAGTTGTAGTTGCTGGGATTTGTAGTTCACCTACCATCAAAGAGCATTCTGAACTGCACCAATTATGGCATTGAACCAAATGTGGCATACAGGACTCCCATAACCAGCAGAAAACACTTGAAGGGTTTGGTGGGCATCGACTTTAAGTTTGGGAGTTGTAGTTCACCTAGATCCAGAGAGCACTCTGGACTCAAAAAATGATGGATCTGGACCAAACTTGGCACAAATATTCCATATGCCCAAATATGAGCACAGATGAAGTTTGGGGGAAATAGACCTTGACATTTGGGATTTGTAGTTACTGGGATTTATAGTTCACCTACAATCAAAGAGCATTCTGAACTCCACCAATTATGGCATTGAACCAAATGTGGCATACAGGACTCCCATGACCAACAGAAAATACTGGAAGGGTTTGGTGGGCATTGATATTGAGTTTGGGAGTTGTAGTTCACCTACATCCAGAGAGCACTGTGGACTCAAGCAATGGTTGATCTGGACCACACTTGGCACAAATATTCCATATACCCAAATATGAACACAGATGGGGTTTGGGGGAAATAGACCTTGACATTTGGGAGTTGTAGTTGCTGGGATTTATAGTTCACCTACAATCAAAGAGCATTCTGAATCTCACAAACGACAGAATTGGGGCAAATTTCCCACACAGAACCCCCATGAACAATAGAAAATACTTAAGGCCATCCAGTCCAACTCTCTTTACCAGGGCAAGAAAATGTAATCAGAGCCCTCCTGATAAAGAACCATCCAGTCATAAATATCGATAGATATGATTCACACACACTGATATAGTATCATAGATTTGAAAGGGACCCCTAAAGAAGGACAATTTCCATGTTGCATGTTCCAGAGTAGGGAAAGCAGACAATCTCCTCATCAACACTGATAAAGAAACAGCAAGAAATACTGTTTACCCACAAGCATAAAGAAATTGCATATATTAGAAATCAAAACTTTCTCATTACTTTATTTTCCAGATCACCAGACTGGGCCACAGCAATGCATGGCAGGGGATGGCTAGTATAAATATAAATAAATAAGCAAACTCCCAGAAATCCCAGCCAGTTTACCAACTATTAGGATTTCTGGGAATTGAAGGCCAAAACATCTGGGTACTCACAGGTTGAGAACGACTGATCTAGGCTTTTCTATTGATTTCAGTGGTTATAAGATGCTTGATTAAATATGTTATGGTTATCAAGAGCTAGAGGTTACTCGCTACCTGAGACCTCCCAACTGCTAGGGTGCGGAGCAAACTAGAAGTTTGGATGTAGGAGGCAGAGGCTTGAGGTTATACTTTTGGGTGGTTGGCAAGGAGGCATGGTTATAATTGGCAAGATTTGTGTTTGTGGTCCTCTATGTGTGCATATGTTGGAAGGTTTGATGCTGCTTTCAAGGCTGGTCTTATGCAGGTGCTGCAGAAAGCAGCTGTTTAAAGCATGGCTGGACCTAAGGCAGACTGCTAAGCGGGCCTATTCAGGCTTGCATCCTGCTTGCTTCCAGCTCAGTAAATGAGAGGCAAAAACATCCCCTGGGCTTGTAGAGATGCAAATATAGGCTTAGTCCTTCCTTCTCTTGTGTGATGGACTCCGTTTGTGGTGCATTTGATTAGTGGAGCAGAAGAGATTTGGAGAGTGAGTAAAACCTCCAAAAAGTCTCAAGTTGGAAGTCCTGATTAATCAGTCTTTCATCATCCCATTTTCAGGTTCTTTAGAATGTCCCTCTTTCCCAGTATTCTTTTTTTGTGTGTGTCAGTGTTGTTGAGCAATTTAGAATGGCTGTGGATAGGCCCAAGCCATTGTGGGTTGCCTGGTGAAAAAGAGAAGCCAATATTACAGAATAAATCTCACCACATTGAAGGGATAGCCACTGAGGTTTATTTATTTCATTCCAGCTGGAAAGAATGACAGTTGCAGTAATCTGCCAACAAAATCGGCATGCTCACTGGGCAAAATGATACAATATTTATAGCCTTCAGATTCAAAAAGTTCCCATGCCCACCCCTCTCCCCCCCCCCCACTTCCAAGCTGGCTTTGTTATGATTGGCTGTGAAGTCAGCAAACCAGCAGGAGAGCCAATGGTGGCCTGAGCCCTGCTTTGGCCTCTCAGGCAATGAGGTGGAAGGGAGGCGGGGCAACAAGGAAAACAATGAAGRCATGTCTAGTTGACTGGATTAAGATGACCAGTGTTTGCTAAATGGCTGGGCGATGACCTTTAGGCTCTCAAGCCTAGCCAGGGTTATTGTTTGATTTCTTGAATTCACATTTTTGGTCTGKCCCAGGGGGGCTAGATTCTTTGTTTTCTTCCTTCCTGGGTATGGGATCCAYTGATGAAGATTGAGGTTGGTTTTGGCCAGTTGGGCTGACACAGTGAGAATAATATTGTAATTGTTATTGCTTGTATTGATGTATTGTGGGCTCGGCCTCATGTAAGCTGCACAGAGTCCCTTGGGAGATGGTAGCGGGGTATAAATAAAGTTTTATTATTATTGTATTTTTATTATAAGCTGTGGTGAAATCCTAATTCCTCACAGACAGGAAAACACCCTTTGTGTCGGGTGATTCAGATGCTATAGGTCTTACCTCTCCAGATGGACTAGCCTTTTGCCCTCCGAGATCTGGTTGGATAAGAGCCATTAATTTATTGTCCATGCAATGAGTTTCTGGTTGAGTCCTTTGTTTAGGGATTTACTGGCCCAGGAAATTGAGAAATGCTTCCTGAAGCCATGAGGTGCTGGATTCATGAAGAAGGTGGCTTTGCCTTCATTTTTCAAAATACAGACATACCTACATGTGATGGTATGGGGAGGGGGAATATACAAGGAATTCATAAGGGATAAATCATGCAAAGTCAAGAGGGAACCATGTCAGCTTTCCCTCCCTCCAAAGTTCATCAAATATCCATAAAGATTGGTGAAAATCATATGAATTCATAGGGTTTTGGCAAGAGGGTTCCCAAGAGTTCCAAAGTCCTTTAAAAGTTGATTAAAATTCCATAAAGTTTATGAAAGTGGGGGAAAGTTCATAAGAGTTGGGCCATGGAAAAAGCCTTAGGTTTCCACATGGGGGAGAGATAGGGGATTATGGGATTATTCCAGCCTGGTGTCCTTGGCAAAACTACTATGCATTCCCTGATTTTGAATCATCTTTTCCAAAGTCTGGTATCACTCTGTGCCGCAGTGTTCATCTGTGAAATGTTGAAAAGTGTGGGAAAAAAGCTTTATTTATTTCTCTTCAAAGGCGGGGGAAAATAGTTAAGAATTTACATCCATAATCCTTCTCTTCCACTTTTATACTCTCTTGATGAAGTCTTGTATGGTTGGAGGTGAGGAGGTTGAATACCAGACAGACGGTTTGGAAATGGAGAAATGAAGCTGTGTGTGGTCAAATCACATTCTCTACCAAATCAGGTGACACCTATCTCAAAGGAAGGGATGCCTCTGCCTAGAGTCCCCTCCTGAAATCATGGAGGAATTTAAAAGGGTCTGGCCCTGAAGGAGAGACCCTGTGGACCCACCAAGGAGAAGCCCAATTTAAAAGGTTTTTCGTAAGTTCCCAAAAGAAATCTCACCAAAGTTGAAGGAAGCGCCACCGAGATGATTTTATTGCGATTCAGCTGAAAAGGATGCAAAGCAGCAATATTTCGCCAAGCTGAGCATAACATGTGTACAAATAAAAGCCTTTTTTATACAGAAACAGAGTTGCCAGGTTTGAATCTCCCATTCCCCGCCCCTCTGCCGGCTCGACGATGATTGGCTGGCACTCTACAGCTGGGAGGAGGTTTGGTCACCTCCTGAGTGCCTGGGCCAATCGCTGGGCTTCTGCTGCCTCGGTGTCCTGACGAATCAGGAGAGAGGGAGGCGGGATGAGAGGGAAACAATGGATTCGTGAGAGGATTATGGAGGTAGGAAATGTCCATGCGGCCAGCGAGTCCTGGGGCCTGCGAGCCAGCCATTCCTATTGTCATTGAGTGGCTGCAATAAACATTGATGTTTGGCGATCCTGCCAAGATTCGGATTTTTCCAGTGCAGAGATATGGGAACAATGGGAAACTTTGGCTGAAGTCTTTAGTGAAAGAAAAGTTGAATAGGTGACAGATTAGGACGAGGTGCGGCTTTCCGAAGGCCCCCTCAATCCTATTGCCAAATGACCGCTTCCTCTGGGGGACCAACTCCGAACCCAGAGGTCACGGTCTTTTGTTATTGTCCATGCAAATAGTGTCTTTTGATAAGGGTCTTTTTCAACTGGAGATTGCCTTCTTTCCAGGGTCATGCAGGGGTGGCTGCCTTGTATTTTTATACATTTTTCAATAAAGGGGGATTGGGCAAAAGGGTCAGGAAAAGGTCAGATACACAGGGAGGAATATAGAAATATAGAAAACATACCCACTTATCCCTCCCACCAGAGTCCCATAGAAGTTCAAGAGAGCACATAAGTGTAAAGGGAGGTAGTTTCTCAGTAATAAATTTGCTACTTCTGCTATATATGAAACCTAGGGCATAAAACCTTGATTAAATGTACACACTATCTAACATGGGAAGGGTCGTTGTTGTTAGTGTCTTGGCAAACTGACCAAGGCTTAACCCTTATTATCTAGTCTGGTGTCCTTGTCCTTAGCAAAACTATAAGTTACTATCTTTTGGGGGGGGGGCGGTCATGTTCGACTTCACTCCCACCTCCATCTGCTGATACGAGTTTGCACTGTTGGGTCTGTTTCTACTACTTGCAGAAAATCCCACAATATCTGCTTTGAACTGGAATATATGGCAGTAATTTGAGTGTGTTGCCTCCCATCTCCCTTCCGTCTCATATAACATAAGCAGAGTAGCAACAGCATCACAGTAACCCACCAAGAACCAAACACTGACCACAAACCTCTTTTCTCATTTTCATTTGGATGGCCTGTTAGTTATTTACTTCCTCCTTTCCGTTTGCAAGCTTCCTCTGTCCTAGGTGATCAGTAAAGATCAAAATACGTGATTGTGGCTGCTGTGACCTTCTAAGCACAAAACATGTAATGTTGCACTGAGCTACTGTTAATTTCCTATGAGAAAAGCATCACCATTTGCTTACTCTTGTGTCATTTGCCTCTATAGCTACTGGACCCTTGACAGAGCTGCAAATTGCTTACGTATGTCGAGAAACATTGCAAGTGAGTAAAACAATATCAATCTGCCTTGTATAAGTCAGAATTATGATCTAACTAGTCCAGGTAGGGGCTAAATGTGACCAAGGAATACATGAATGAATATAATGAAAAGTATGGGACAGACAAAGGGTGTTTCAGAATTGTAGCAAAACATCTCACATCATAAGACAGACCTTGGCCATTGTACGAGGGTTGAATGAAAAATAATGCCTTCACCTTCGTAACTCCTCAACAGATGGCAATTTGTTTCATAAAGATCAAGTAGACAGAACATATTGTAAAGAACAAAAATAACTTTCTGGCCTTGCATCGCTCATTTTAGTGCAAGTATAAAGACAAAAATAGTGTTCGATTCAGCAGATATTGCAGATGGCAGTACTGGTATGCGGCAGGTACTGGCTTGTTCAGTAGACTCTCCTCTACAGTTCCATTTTGGTGGAAAGCCTTAACAACACAATGGTTGTGTTGTTAAAGTGCGAAGTATGGAACCCTGCGCAGAAGGTCGGTCAATGCGACTTAAGCAACATATGCGGCAGGTACTGGCTTGTTCAGTAGACTCTCTTCTACAGTTCCATTTGAATGAAAAGTAATGCCTCCACCTTCGTAACTCCTCAACAGATGGCGGTACTGTTATGTGGCAGGTACTGGCTTGTTCAGTAGACTCTCCTCTACAGTTCCATATTTGTGGGAAGCCTTAGAATTGAACAGTTGTGCTGTTAAAGTGCGAAGTATGGAACCCTGCGCAGACAGTCGGTCAATGCAACTTAAGTAGCGTGCAGTCATTGAATTCTTGACCGCAGAAGGTGTCACCCCAAAGGAGATTCATCAGACAATGCAAGCTGTTTATGATGATTGTGTTGATGTGAGTACTGTGTGTCGTTGGGCGAGTAAGTTTAAAGATGTTGAGGTGGGAACATCTGACTTGCGTGACAAACAAAGAGTTGGACGTCCTGTGACAGCAACCACCGAGTTTCACAAGCAAAAGGTTGACAGATTGATTCAGGACGATCGTCGTATCACTCAGAGAGAAATTTCAAGTATAATCGGCATTTCACAAGAACGTATGGGTCACATTATTGTTTTGCTTGGCTATCGGAAGATCTGTGCACGATGAGTTGCGGAAACAGAATGTCGACTTCTTCCGTGACTTCTTCTTGTTCATCATTGGCAGAAATGTATCCAATTGTCTGGTGATTATATGGAAAAGTGAATAGTGGTCGTTAAAGAGCACATTCTTAGGATTATTTCTGCGTTTGATTTATTAAAATATTCCCAACCAAACCCTAGTAATAAAGGTGGAGGCATTACTTTTCATTCAACCCTCGTAAGACTCCTCCTCAGGTAACGTAAGGCCCCTTCTACACTGCTATATAATCCAGATGATCAAAACAGATAATCCACATTATCTGCTTTGAACTGGATTATATGAGACTACACTGCCATACAATCCAGTTCAAAGCAGATAATCTGGATTGTATGCAGTGTAGACGAGGCCTCAGACTGTGATGCGAGGCCACCCAGTGTTTCTTGGAATCTGCTGCTTTATAGATTAACTCATACCACATAACCTCATGTGTTTAGGGGCCCTTCCATACAGTATCTGGTTTGAACTGGGTTGTCTAAGTCCACACTGCCATATAACCCAGTTCAAAGCAGATAATGTGGGATTTTATTCAGCTGTGTGAAACGGGCCATTGTGTCCCTTAGGTCCCTTATACACAGCTGTATAAAATCCACACAATCTACTTTGAACTGGACTATATGGCATAGTAGACTAAGGTAGTCAAGGTAAAAGTAAAGGTTTTCCCCTGACATGAAGTCCAGTCGTGTCCGACTCTGGGGTGTGGTGCTCATCTCCATTTCTAAGCCGAAGAGCCGGCATTGTCCATAGACACCCCCAAGGTCATGTGGCCGGCATGACTGCCTGCAGCGCCGTTACCTTCTCGCCAGAGTGGTATCTATTGATCTATTCACATTGGCATGTTTTCGAACTGCTAGGTTGGCAGAAGCTGGGGCTGACATGGAATCTCACACCGCTCCTTTTGAGATAGATTCAAAATGGTCTTTTGGTGTCCATGGGGAAAATCTCCTTCCAGCAGCTCATGAAGCAAGTACCTGCACAGCTCAAGCCTAAAAATGTAACTGTTGCCAAAACTCCCAGGGTCAGCTAGCTTTGCATTTTACAGTTAACATACCCACCAAACTGACTTCTTATATGCTCCAACAGAGTGAGCTGCAGGTAAGTAGTCAGCTCTTTTCTTATAATTAGACTCAAAGTAGTGACATTTTTTGCAGGACTGACTAGAGGGGTCCAAGCCATATGAAGGGTATTGGGTCTAGGAAATTTGTAATAACAGTTTCCTTGACTGTTACATCAGGTGGATTTTAAGAGCAGTTGGATACATGATGTTCTTTTTCTTCTAGGGTCTTTCTTATCTTCATAACCAAGGGAAGATCCATAGAGATATCAAGGTAAATAAGAAGGTCCTTGGAAATTTCATAATTAATGTATATACTCGAGCATAAGCCTAGTTTTTCAGCCCTTTTTTTAGGCTGAAAAAACTCCCCTCGGCTTATACTCGAGCCAAGGTTATTTATTATTTTACTCTGCTATTAGTATTATCTTTATTATATTCATTTTATTACGCTATTATTATTATATT